CATAGCAACCCCTAGCTGAATGAGGCTACTAAGATTGATACGACCCCTAATGACTCGAATACCCACTAGTGGAACCCTGAACAAATGGAACACGTCATGAGCTTGCTGGAAGAGCACTAAAGGATGACGGAACTGGAGTGCAGAAAGATGATCGAGCCACTGTGAAAAATGAGCTGGTCTACCATGATGTCCTATACTAAACGGACCTCTACCTCCAGATGAAGTACCACTGAATCCACTAGAACGATGAGGCCTTTTGTCCCTCGCCATGCCCCCTCTCCTATGGTTGGGAATACGCTCGATCCTCCTAGCTATTTCTATTGCCTAATGAAAAGTTGTCCCAATCTCAGCCTCTCGAGCCATAGCAATCCTGATACCATAGGTCAATCCCTCAATGAATCGCTTCACCTTCTCTGCCTCGGTAAGGATCAAGAAAGCGGCATAACAAGATAACTTTCTGAATTTCACCTCATACTCAGTCACTGAAATATGATCATGTTGAAGGTGCTCGAACCGACCTCTCAACTCATCCCTCCTCGTGAGTGAGAGGTACCTCTCAAGAAATAGATGCAAAAAAAGAGTTCATGTAAGAGAAGATGAAGCAGTTGGCCTCTCTAGTTCATAAATCGTCTACCATTTCCTCTAAATTGAAATGTAGTGACGTCCACTCCGTTGGACTCTACCAAGCCCAAGTTGCAAAGCATCTAATGACAACTATCTAAAAAGTCCCGGGCATCCTCTAAAGCACTGCCTTTAAAGTGTGGAGGGGATACCCTTTTAAATCTCACTAATCTTTTTTGCTTATCAGCAGACATGGAAAGATCAACCACGGGTCTAGCCTCTACAATTAGTTTCTCTAGAGTACAAGTGACAGGGGTCTGAGCTCCTCATCTAGCCTGAGTCAATGTATCTATAAAGCTGACCATCATTTCCATGGACTCCTGAAATACTAGTACAACAACAAAACCCTCTGGAGGTTGGGTGTGCACTGGAGCCTCAACATGATCATCTATGAACTAATCCTCCACCTGATCCACATGTGGGTTTGCTACAACTGTCCTGGTATTGCCATGGGTTTCGGTGGATGCTCCACATCTAGCTATGACAATGCAGCCCTTAGCTAGAGCTTTGGCCCTACCTTGGGCCCTACCTTGGGCCCTACCTCTCCCAGCTATAGCCGATGGTGTTGCCTCTTCGCTACCAGCTGCCACTGACGAAGCGCGGGTTATCACCATCTGTGATAGAATAGAAGAGACAGATTTAGACTCAAGTTAATAATCAGCGCACGATGAAAAATCAAGAAAGGAAAATTTTTCTTAAGCCCTATAGCCTCTCGCAGATAGGTATTGACGTCTTTGTACGTATCCACAAGACTCTATCAGGACTATTATGATTTGTGAGACCCTTAGAACCTAGAGCTCTTATACCAACTCGTCATGATCCAAAATCCCACCAAAGGTCGTGATGGCGCCTTACCCGCTCGCTAGGTAAGCCAACATTCAATCAATCATAATCAAAATGGGTGAGCCAAATCTTTAACATAAACATGATATAATATGAAAACGAAGACAATCTCAAAACCAATAACATAGATGTAATATATCTTAGATAGGGTCTAAACATGACTACAACTATCAACAATGCCCAAAACTCGATGTCACAACTATCACAAGCATCTAACAAAAGTAAGAGTCTAAAAATGAACAACAATGTCTGTCTGATAAGAAATAGATAGACTTAATAGATAATTAGGGAGGGCGACTCCACGTACTGCGGATCGGACGAGTAAAGAAGCTCACCATGAAATCTCCACAGAATCTCCTACTCAATTGGATGCACACCACCAATACCAACCTTAGAACATGCACAAAATATGCAGAAGTATAGTTTGAGTACAAAACATGGAATCTAGTAAGTATCACGTCTAGCCTCGAAGAATTAGTGCCGAAGGGTCGACATCAACACTCACAAATAGTCTGATAATCAGGTGGAAATATGATTAATATACGAAATAATGCATGATATACACAAATGAGTATGAAATCTCAAGAAATAAAGTTCATACAGAATTTAGGCATGCTTTATAGATAAGGAGATCAATTAAGATATCAACACCTCGATCCTCACATCAAGACATGATATGCGTCAACGACATTAATATGCATGCTCAGAATTCATTTTCATGACAACGCACAGCACAAATCCATGTGCTTGCGAGCCAAAACCTAATTTATATGCACCTTTTCTTTATTTAAGAAGATCCAATCCAATTATCAGTCCCGATGCAGAAAGGAGTAAATAAAGAAGAGTACCAACAAGCACCAAAAATCCAGGTTTCCTATGCTCATAAGGCCCAAAGTAACATGAATAATCACCTGACTCCGGAGGGATGAACCAATATCTAAGCATTGATCATTCTACATTTAATGATCAATAACCAAAAATCAATATCTGTAGTGCCAAACTCATTAATTTTCTTCAATAACCAGCTCTCCACTCATACATATGTGTACTAAATAATATACTCCGTAATAAAAGAGCACCGGACAATAACAATAAGAATACGGATAAAAGTTCATATGGCTTGAAGATGACTATGGCTAATCATGTAATTTAATTTATCACAATGGCTCAATAAGCTATTAAAGCATGCACAAGTTTAATCATATTGCTTAACATGAGTCATTTAAGCCATATAACCACCAAATCATAGAGCAAAAAAGATAAGTGTATGACAACGAATTAGTAATAAAGCTCAATATGGAAAAACAATCCTCTATGCCCAAATCAACAAGTCATAACCTTAAGAATGCTCCTAACCATATTCATCAATTATCACATAATCATATAATCAATTGAGACATGGATAATAACTTCACATAATCCAAACAAGGCATAACATAAGCCAAATCTACCGGATATGGTCAAAACCCAGCTACGCACATATGCTCGTCACCTCGCATATACGTAGCTTCTAAATCGAGCAACAAGTTGCAAATAGATCACCTATGAGAAGAATTTCCTCTTACAAGGATAGCTAAGAGACTTACCTCTATCAAGTAATAGATTCAACCTTCCAAAATCGACTTTCCTCTCAAATGAACCTCCAAACGACTCGAATCTAGTCAAATACAACTCAATAATATTAAACAAAGCCATAGTCAAGGGATAGATCCCGACTGTCCATAATCCCACGAGTTAAATATGTAATTAAATTCCAAAATCGGGTCCAAATTAACCCTTAAATTCCCAAAATATACCCTCTTACATTGTAGACAATAAGCCCAAGTTTTACTTTAAAATTTCAAGTTTTAGGTGTAGAAATCTATGGGGAATCAAGATATAAAGCTAAATCCAAGTGAAAATTCTTTACCGCTAATGTAGTAGTAAAATTGCTCTTCGAAATCTCCACATCTCGAAGTCTAGGGTTCAAAATATGAGAGAATTGGTAAACTCCCGAAATAAATCACTTAAGTGTTTTGCCTAGTGATATGCACCGCGATCGCAACATCCCTTTTACAATTGCGAAGGCCAAAAAATACACCCAGCTCCTGCTTTACTTCGCGAACGTGAAGTCCCTCAGCCTACGTGAATGCGAGCCTTGCTCTGCGAATGCGAAGGCAATTCCTTTGCCTAGCACCACACCATCGCAAACGCAGCCCCTTGCACGCGAATGCGATGGTCCTGCCTCCCAGCCCTCTGCGAATGTGACACCAACACAGCGAACGCGAAGAGAAAATCTCACCTACTAGCTCCCCTTCTTCGCAAACACGAGATAAGTTATTGCGAAGCACTGCTCAACACTAGAAAACCAGCTACTCCAAACCAAAGGAAATGGTCTGAAACACAGCCGAACCCCCAAGACTCTATTCAACCATACCAACAAGTTCCTAAACCTAATCCAAACTTATCCAAAAGCTCAAAATACCACAACCAACAACAAAACAAAGAATCGACGCTCAAAATCCATCTCTTAACTTCAGAAACTTTCTAACTTCACCAAACTCGCCTGAATCATGCCTAAATATTTCAGATTCCAACTAAACTTTGCACAAGAGTTCCAATCAACTAAATTAATCTATCCAAAGTCCCAGAACACCAATCGGATCCCCGATAATATCAAAGTCAACTCCCCGCCAAACTTATGAACTATCAAAACCTTCAAATTGAACTTTCAGCAAATAGACCAAAAACCTTCTAGGAACCTCCAAATCCAAATTCGAACATACACCTAAGTTCTAAATCACCATACGAACTTATTAGGACCATCAAATCACCAATTTGAGGGCGTTTACTCAAAAGTCAAACCTTGGTCAACTCTTACAACCTAAGCATCCAAAAGAGACTAAGTGTTCCTAATCACTCTCAAACCTTCCCGAAATCAAACCAATCATCCCCGCAAGTCAGAAAACAACAAACAAACATACGGAAAGCATAAAATAGGGGAACATGGCACAACTACACAAACGACTGGTCGGGTCGATATATATATATATATATATATATATATATATATGGTCTTCATCCCGTTGATAAGCCATGTTGATCCATAAAGGATATCACCCATTAATAAAATTAAAATAAAAAATATTTATATTATCTGTAATTATAATATCAATATTAAGAGTATGCACATCGAGTGAACTAGAAAATTTAATTTATGTAGTAAGTATAAAGATAAATTACCTTTACTTGGTCATGTTCTATACATTTATAATGTCTTGAATTTTTTGCAAGTATCGAAGAAAGGAACCAAACACCTGGGTGGTATGCAGGTATTATAATACCTAATTCATCCAATCAAACAAGCCCCAACATTATTTGCTACAAAGCTGTAATTTTAAGAAATTAGCTTAAGAAACAAATGGACTGAAATGGCAATTTTCGAAAATGACGGTACTGTTGTCAAGAAAATGTATAGCCAACACCAGTTTTTGTCGGAAATCTTGGTTTAGATCGTACAGGTCTGAGTAGTCTATCCAAATTAAGTGAAGTGGTTAATCACATTTAACGAGAAAAAAAAATAAACATAAGAAAAACCTCCAATTGAAAATAATAAACAAGTCAAAGTAGGTAGCTTAGTGAAAATGAAGTCTATTATCTTTATTGCTGCTTCTCCATTTGGATCCTTAAACAAACTATGGAATCTGCAACGAGTTGGATCCACTCTTTGTTGTTCTTCAGCTTCATTATTGCTTCTTTACATCTACTAGACAGACTGATTATCTCAAGTAAACTAACCACCGACCAAAATATCCAGCTGATCAAGAAGCAGCCTCAGCTGCCTCTGCATTTCAACTCTGATGGAACCTTCAAAATTCTGCAGGTTATAATAGGAACTTACTAGGAAAATTAGCTGAATTGATCAGCTGTTTGTTACTTTGTTGTAATTTTGTTTCAGTTTGATGGTTTTAGGTGGCGGATATGCACTACGGGAATGGGATGGTGACTCGGTGTAGAGATGTATTGGAGAGTGAGTTCAATTACTGTTCCGACCTCAACACTACTCAGTTCTTGAGGAAAATGATTGAGATTGAAAATCCAGACTTGATTGTATTTACCGGTAATAAGTTTAACTTTTCCCTTCTGTTAATAATCAGAGTTCAGAACTAAATCAAGTATGTATTTCTTATTGTTCTTTCCTTTTCGGAACCATAGGAAACTGTAACCTTTATGTATTGCCTTGACGTTATCTGAAGTAAGAAAAACACTTTCCTTTTCAGGGTGTTCACAGCAGAAGTTCTAATTTAAGATCAATTTTCAGTAACTTCCTGCCTTTCCCCAAATGGTATAATAGAGATTCAGAATATGCTAAATCTAGCGACCTAAGTAAATTACTGTCTTCTCACGTTATTGTTTATCGCATGTTTTCTTTGTAAATCAAACTCGGCCAAAGTAAAATTTAATTTCAATCATCTTTTATTAGTGAATTTACTTGTGTAAACCTTTCAAAGCCACTCCAGCTTAAGATGAAAATTATTTATGAAGATTTCTTAAAATTGTTGTTGGACCCCTATTGAATTGTGAAACTCTTTCCCTTCAATGAGCTGAACTGCTGAAGCAATATTTAGACTTAGGGCAGGGCCATTAGAATTTATCTATAGCCATCGCATTTAAGAGGTATGGGGTGATTTGTTAAGTACAATGTTGATAGATATAAAGTTCACTCAGAAAAATAAAATACTTTCAGGAAGACCAATAAAGTTTCATTATTACAGGATACGACGGTTTGTAGTTACGGATCTGATTATTATTGTTTTTCCAAGAGCAAGTTCCTCCTATTGTCTTCCAGTTGGATCTAATAATCAATACTTTTGGTTGTTAACAAACTTGGAGCAATTGATTAAGATTTGGGAAGATTGTCAATCACATTCAAAAACTAACTCGTGACTGAGAATGGGAACTAACTATGAAGCTCTCTCTGCTTAAAATATTAGCCTTGTGTTGTTTCAATCTCTCATCCTCTTTGCAGAACTTGATACAATTTAATCTTGCTCTCATATGTATGATTGTGTGTTGGTTCGTATACAGGTTGCAGGGTTAATCGTGTGGCTTTTGAGTCCTCATGTCTTGTACTGCCTTTTCCGTAGCCACAATATGGGATTAATTAAGAAACTAAACGAATAATAGGGTGTGCATGCTAAATATCATTAGGTGATAAAGGAGTATTATATTGCAGATAGCAAGTATTTGGTGGCAGCGAGACGGGGCTGAAGTTTCTAAATGAGAAAAAAAAATCTTGGAGAAAGTTAAAATAGGAAGGTATAACTTATGAGAGTAAGAGGAGGCAATGGTTGAAGGGTATAATTTACATAAGAGTACAAGCAGGGAATTGTAGGTTTAACGAGAAAATTGACACTGTGAAGGGGTGCATGATTACTTGCTGTCCATACAGTACCATAGACATAAAGGTTACTAATTTATTATTAAAGCAACACCGAAGGTTCAAGCAAGGGATGTGGATTGAGTCCAAGTTCTGGACAAAGAGGGGGCCTTTGTGTTTTCATCTTTCCTAAATCGATCGATCAAGATCCCGGTGGCAATGTCGAAAGCGTGATAGACCGGGTCAAATTGAGGAGCTTGCGGTGGAAATAGGTTCCTGGCTCGTCAACCGAATGTCTCACCTAGAGACTCCCAACTTGAGTCCCAGAACCATAGCCATTCAACGGGATTCAAGAAATGCCAAGGCTCAAAGACCGCTAGGACATGGAACAGTACTTTAAGGCAATCAAGGTGAATTGTAAAAAATATCTAAGCCAAGCTATTGAATCCAAGCCTAGTGAAATCAATCCTCCAAGCCTAATCATACAGTGACAAACTTTTAAGGAACAGCCATAGAAAGGAAGTTAAACAAAGCTTATTTACAGCACTCACTATCGGTGATATATGAGTTTCTTCGTCGTTTACAGATTGAATTATGAGCACTCACCTTTCCTTTCTTTGGCTAGCCCAACCAAAACAAAATTAATTTTTATTTTTAATTAATAAAAAGAAAGTTAAGGTGTATTATGCTCGACAAAAAGTTACATAAAATCCACCCACACATGGTGTTTACACCAATCCAATGAATGCAACACAAGTATGTTTCATACACACATTTATCACTTAACCACGGATGTGTATTCTAATTTTAATTTTTAGCTTCTAAGATTAAATTGCTTGGTTTAATGGAAATATCCTGCGTATAAGTATTTAGCAAAGAGTTATATAGGTCATTTTTACGATTAAGTAATCCACATCTCAACATTTGCATTGATACTTGTGCAATCTCAGGAGAAAACTTTTCATTTACAACTAACAAATTATAATTGAAAAAACAAGAAAACAGACGTCCACAACCTATTTAAAACTTCTTATAATTTCACTGTCATGAGAAAACAGGTGATGAAGTTCACTTTCCTATCATTTTGCTTGTTAACACTTGAGTTTCATTGCATCCTGATGTGCACAGGCACTTCCAATCTTTTGGATCAAATTTGGGCCAGTTTAACTTGATTAGGTCATTGATCTATGATCTTTGCTATTTCGCTCTAGTCTCACTCAGTTATTTGAAGGGAGAACTTGTCAAAATCTGTTTTAGCTACATGGTGCTTCTTCTGTAAAGAATCCTTTGAATGATGTAGGGATGTACCCATGTCTTTGTTTAGGTTATCCTTGTGCAGGACATGGATGTTTTGGTTTAAATAATAGGTTATTTCATTTTAATTTGAAATATTCTAATGAGTCAATAATGTATGAAACTCTCATTTCTAATCTTATGGTGGCTGAGATTATAGAATTCTAATTTGCAAATATATTAGTGTAAAAGTCCAGGTGCATTCTTGTTGTGTGTTCATCTGTACTCTTTGTAAAGCTCACTTCACTTTGTTATACAGGAGATAACATCTTCGGAGCAAGTGCCACTGATGCTGCAGAATCTTTGTTTGAAGTTTTTGCTCCTGCTATAGAATCCGAAATTCCATGGGCAGCAGTTTTAGGGAACCATGATCAAGAATCTACCATGAATCGTGAGGAACTTATGTATTTAATCTCCCTGATGGATTATTCTGTGTCACAAACCTTCCCATCAACCAAAGTTACCTCGGATCCAGTAAAACAGCAACCAAGAACAAATATTTATGGATTTGGCAACTACAATCTTGAAGTGTGGGGTGCACCTGGCTCATACTTTAGTAACAGCAGCATTCTTAACCTATATTTTCTAGACAGTGGAGATAGAGCTGTTGTCAATGGAGTTCGGACTTATAACTGGATCAGGGAATCTCAACTAAGTTGGCTTCATGATATTTCTAAAAGATATCAGGTATTGTAATGGCAGACATTAGAAGGAAGCATATATGTTTTCTCTCTCTCTCTCTCTCTCTCTCTCTCTCTCTCTCTCTCTTTCACACGCACACACACACACACACATGTGTGCCTGTGTCCAGCATTAGCCTTCCATGTGCATGACTTAGTGATTCACTGCTCAGCATTCTATCTCAATTTTGCCATTTCATAGAACTTTCTGTTCTGTGTTTTCGTTAATTGTTTCTGCTCTGACGAGGTAGGTTTAGCCTATTCAGAATTTAGTAGTAACATTTTGCAGGTCAATACAATCACAGGGACAGCATTAGCCTTCCATGTGCATGACTTGGTGATTCACTGCTCAGCATTCTCCTTCCATGTCCACCATTAGCCTTCCATGTGCATGACTTAGTGATTCACTGCTCAGCATTCTATCCCAATTTTGCCATTTCTTAGAACTTTCTGTTCTGTGTTTTCATTAATTGTTTCTGCTCTGACGAGGTAGGTTTAGCCTATTCAGAATTTAGTAGTAACATTTTGCAGGTCAATACAATCACAGGGACAATGGAAGAATGCTGATCAATCAGTCGAGAGTTCTCTGCCAATGATGCATCCTGCACTAGCGTTTTTCCATATCCCGATTCCAGAAATTCGTCAAGGTCCCATAAAAGATATCGTTGGCACGGACCGGGAATATGTGGCATGTTCGTCAGTAAACTCCGGAGTTTTGAAGACCTTTGTCTCAATGGGAGATGTTAAGGCTGTTTTTATAGGTCATGATCATACTAATGATTTCTGTGGGAATCTAGAAGGTATATGGTTTTGCTACGGTGGATGCTTTGGATATCATGGTTATGGTGTAGCTGGATGGCCTAGAAGAGCAAGGGTTATACAGGCAGAACTTGGAAAGGGAAAAGAGTTGTGGATGGGTGTGGAGAAGATCAGAACATGGAAACGACTTGATGATGGTGTACTGACCAAGTTTGATGAGCAAGTCTTGTGGGACAGACAATCATTAGCATGGAAGTATCAGGTATAGACTGTTCTTTCTGTTGGTTTTCTTAATTGCTTTCTCAGCCTTTTTGCTAAGATATTCTCCCTCTGTCCTGATTGATGTGGCGGTGTTTGACTCGGCAAGGAGTTTAAGAAAGAAAGCAAGACTTTTGAAACTTGTGGTCTAGAACAAACCATAGATATTTATGTGGCTGTAAATCAATTCATTGAGGGTAAAGTAGGAATTCTAAAGATAAATTGTTTTTAAATAAGAAAAGGTGACATTCTTTTTGGGACTGACTAAAAAGGAAAGAGTGCCCCATAAATTCGGACGGCAGGAGTAATGTATCTGATTTGTGTTTTTTGTCTTTTTTCTTTTCATCTTGCTGTAGGTAGGATATATTTCCGTCCAGAATTGCAGTTACCTTTTGTAAACATGCATGGATGATATGTTATATCTTATGAATGATTGAGATTGAAGTGCTTTAAGCTTTCAGAAAGTAGCACTAGGCTTTTAAGGCTTTTGTGGGTCGCACTTGAGCTGTTCTAAAAGAGAGAAAACTAGAAGTGCTGTGAATCCCTGGCCAAATAGATACTTCATAATTTGTGGTCTAGAGAGGTTCCACTTTAATAGGGTACCTAAAAGCATGGGGCCAGAACAAAGAAGGAAAAAGAACAAATTGTTGCAGTTATGATCTTTGTTATATAGAGTCGTTTATGGGTGTGTACCCGATCCTACACAGATGTAAGATGTGCAAGTATGTGATACACAAGGATGTGCACCATTTTTTCTAGTATTTAGTGTAATTGAGAAATATCGCAGAGTCAATACCTGTATGACACCCGTTTGACGCCATTACATCAAGACCCATGAAGGATCTAATTAACAACGGTCGTGATAGTTAAGACATCCCTTTATAGCATTTTTGTGCCTGTTGATTAGGAACTTGTACATCGTTATGGATGATTTACCTTATTAAAAGTTCAGTCAGTTTATTGCTAAGTTGCTCGGACACGGGCGTCGGTGTCCGACACCCTATGGGTCACAAATGACGACACGAACCTGTATGCGTCGTCAAATTACAGTTTCGACCTCGTTTGCCCGGTTTTGAGCGGATCTAGGGGTCGGATCCTTTGAGATGTAAATTCTAAGATACGGGGATATGGATCCTTAGTACAGATATGGGTGGGGGGATCTGGCCAAAAATAATTCAAAAATATAAAAATATCTCTAATGTATGAGAAATTTTGTGGAAGACTCACGTATAGCTTGTAAAGTGTGGATTTCTTTTCTTTTTTTCCCTCAAATTGTAGATAAGTAAATGATTGATTTCCTAGATAAGGTATGCTATTTTCTTCAAATTTACCCTAGTTTTGGTTCTGATTTTGGGAATCAAATTGTATCTCGTCTCGAATGTTTTCGTCTGTCGTGGTCAAAGTACCCAAAATTGTTTGACCAAATCCGGTACGAATGTCATATTCACACCCATACTAGTGTCGTGTCGACATGGGTGCGGCACCTAAACTGCTGTGTCGGAGCAACTTAGGTTTATTATTCTTTTTAACTTTGCTCATATCTTTTAATCAGAAAACAATTAATGTATCTATACTTTTAAACATTTAAAATTTTAGAGATGGTAAAGGAGTAGAAGGAAAACCAAGGCACAAGTTAATCTTATCTGATTTAAATCTTATCTCTTAAATCTTATCTGATTTATTCATTTATTTGTTAATTTATGGGAAGCAAGCTAGAATTTGATACAGAAGCAGTATTTCTTAACTAGTCTTCTTTGCATAACAACAACTACTACTTCTGCGCCTCTACGCAAAACTAGTTGGATTAGCTATATGAATCCTCTTCAGTAATTATGCTTCATTTGGACCCTTTCCATTCTGCTACTCAATAATGTCTTTTTAAACAGATTAGAATTCTATAAAATTAGAATTCTCTAGTTCTGCTACTTAATAGTTTGTCTATTTTAGGACAGACTAGAATTCCGTAAAAACCAGAAATTCACTGCATCTCACGCCTATGTCTACAGTTCGTCAGTTCCTACACTCTCAAACCAAATAGAGAAAAGTCATGTCAAACACCGACCAAAAACTCCTATCAAGCACTGGATGCTAGTGCGAGTGTGCCAATAACAACTAACCCTAATCCCAACTGGTTGGTATGCCTATACAGGTACATTGCTTCCTAAGTCCGTAGGGACAAGTATTCTTTGCATTTGAAAATTTAAAAGTGATTCAATCCCATGAGTGAGTTTTTAGAAAGTTTCAACACTAATTACCTCTAATCCAACTTGATTACATCATAGCATTTAGTATTCTTTTTTATTTTTTTCATTTTGCCTTAAATTCACATCTTCAGTTTAAATAAGTAACACGGTATAAGCATGCAACTTTACATATTGTTTGGTACAGAAAGTCTTCCCATTCGGAACACTTGGTAAGCGTACTTTTCAACTAAGCATATCAGAATAGATCTCAAGGGTCTAGAGAACTATTAATCTCCTTCATCCTTCCAAACATTCCGTCTTGAGTCTGACTGACCTAACTATTAAGTTATCAGCCTCTTTGAATCTTCATTAGCAGAATTTTTTGTGAATAACTCAAGTTAAAGTCACGAGAGAGCTCTTCTTTATCTTCGATCCACTTTATCAGATCTCACGTTTGGTACCATGGGTGATTGATTATTAAATTAATGTTATCAGGTTGGTGATTTTCATCACTTGGAGGGGGTTAATTAGTGGTTGTTTTTTTATGATAGGGGTGGTACGGAAAGCGGGTGAGTGGATAGGGAGAAGCTGCTCAAGGGAGAATTGAAGATGATTGATAATCAGTATGAATGTATATGGACAAAGTAATCTAGGAGAAGCATTGGAGGGTGAAGTTGGAAAACAGAACAAGAGGAGATCACTCTTGGTAGAGGCGGATGGAGCTTATATATTATGAACCCATTAATTTTAAATCCTATATCTGCCTCTACTCTTGGGAATAGGAAAAGTTTGTCTATGAAAAGCCAAGAGTTGATCCACATTTGAAATATTATTTAAAAGAAAAGAAAGAACCTTGACAAAGTTTGGTTCAAAAGCCGCCTGAGCCACCTTATCCGTGTATGAACCTTGACGAATGACGAAGTCATTTAAAACTCGTGAATGTCTGCTACACTGTGATGAACAAGTGAAATTGAGAGGTTAAAGAAGGTAGGATCTATGGTCAGCGGAAAATTTCTTTTCTGTCTCATATATAATTTGGCTTGCTAAACTATGGCTTCAGTCAGATTAAGATCTTTTCATGAGAAACAAATGTGAATTGTAAGTCTAAGGCACCATATGTTCATCATTCTCGATGGAAACTGATTAATGATTATGTTACAATTGTTTCTCGAATAAAAAAGCAGTAAAATTAGATTATTTCGCAATAATTCCCCTTTTTCTCCATTGCTTTTCTTCTTCTTTGGGGACTGGAAGGGTGTTCTCCTTTTTTCTTTTTCCCGAGAGGATTTACAAGCACTTACCTCCCACTATTGTTTTCATTTGCAGGATTGACTCGATATGGTCGATGTACGTTTTTGCAATTTTTTAGCTGGCTCTTGATTTGGTTGATATTTCCACGTAAAACCCTTTGCAGTTTGAGGGGAATTTATTTCAATTATGTAACAGTTTGAGTTGTAATGTCCAAGCCTTGCAATATTGCTGCAAGAGTAGGCTAGAGAGTTGTAACTGTGTTGTTGTGAACAAAAGAATTAGTATCAAGTCTGTTCCACGTTTTACGCTGATTTGACAGAGCACACTTCTTTCAACTAACTTACNGGGGGGGGGGGGGGGGGGTTATGTTACATGAGTTTTATAACTTAACTGTATTGGTGGAAAAAAAATATATGACACGTGGAGGAATGAATGTTAAAAGGTGGCATTTGGATAAAAGCAATAAACAGGAATGATGAGGCGTGGTTAAAACACCCGTGGGGTTGTTTGCAAAGATATCGTATCTGACAATCGGGAAAGAAAAGATAGTCATGGGATGCATGAAGACTACAAAAGGGGAAGATTCATTGATGGTTAGGAATATGGGGAAAAAATTAGCATAATCCCTGATTATATGCGATTGTCTATTATTACCATAATTGTTATGGAATAATTTGAGTAACGGGCAATTAATGCAGTTAATGTTAGTAACGGACAAGAATTAAGTGAGGAAAGCCGTTACATATTGTATCTTTATATAAACTTCCCTTTCCATATTTTGTACAAGAATCAAGGAATTTACAAATATATGCAATCAGTTTTTTACTCTTATTTTCTTGCTTGATTGAAGATTCTTACTCTCAATTCTTGGAAGAAAGCTGCGATAATTAATAAGATTTCCTTTCCTTTACTCATTGACTATTTAGCTTCTATTATTTCTAGTTCTCGTATATTTAGAAAAGTGAAGTAAAATTGGTTATTAGAAACCCGATTTATTTCTATATTTGCTTTGACTACTGAAATTATTTTTTGGTTAAACAAATTGGTTCCGTTACAGGGAATTTAATAATTTTTTTACTTTCTGTATTTTATCTTTAGCAACAAAATATGTCTACGACTAATGAAATTATTCAGGTGGGTGAAGAAGAACAAGTAAGACAACAAGGTGGAATTTCACCACACCATACACCCACGACTACTCCACAACGTTCACGAAAAAATTCATCTGAAAGATCTGCTAATTGTAACGCTAGCCAGCAAATTGACGAACCAACAAATGAGCAAGATAATTTGAAACAATTTATCGCTCAACAGATTGGTGAAGCTTTGTGTGCATTTGCAAGTGGATTACCAAGTATTGTATAGGCTCTACCACCAGTGAATACAACTGTTGAAAACCCTCATTTGGGTTTGGAAAACTCAGGAAGTGGTGAAATACAAAATAATTCGGAGCCGGAGAGTCAGGTATACCAAATAATTCTAATTTATAAAATTTGGTACTAACTTTGCAGAAGCAACTCAAGGAACAAAATGAGCGGATAGAGTAGATACTAGGAGTACCACCCATGATTAACGGAGTGGATATTGACAAGTATTCGCAACAACCTTGGAAGCCGAGTGCATCACCATTGCCAATTCCCATGAAGTTCAAGATACCTTATATCCCTAAATATAATGGAACTACTGACCTGCGAGATCATGTTACCGCATTTACTACAGGAGTCAAGTGCAATGATTTAACCAAGCAGAAAATCAAATCTATGTTGGTGAAAAAATTTGGCGAAACCCTCACAAAAGGCGCATTAACTTGGTATTCACTCTTACCTGAAAATTTTATTGATTCTTTTGCTGAGCTTGCAGATTCATTTATTAAAGTACATTCGGGAGCTAAAAAAGTAGAAAAGAGGATGGAAGATATCTTCAAAGTAAAATAAGGAAGTACATAATTGCTCAGGGAATTCGTAGATTGATTCCAGTAGGAGAGAATGATGTTACCACGTGTACCTAATAATTGGGCAGCTATGGCATTTGAAAGTAATTTGAATGAGAAAATCTCAGAAGCCATGAGAAGATTAAAAGAAAGCCTGCGAGAGTTCGGGAGTCTGAGCTCTTCTCCCAGCCTAAGAGACAGCTAGTGCCATAGGAAATACTCCGGCCAGGGCCACACTCTCCATGAGTCCAACCAGGCGGAATAGAGCATCCGGAAGTACAGGAGTAGCAATGAATCTCTCCGGGACCTGAGCGGGTCTAACTAGTGCGATCTGAACAAGGATCTCATCCTCATGCTCTAGCCGAGGATTTGTAATGGGTGTTGCTGCACGTGCTCTAGACTGAGCTCTGCCTGTGCTTCGGCCCCAACCTCGGCCCCGGCCCCTACCCCTGGTAGTGGCTGCAACAGGGGGCTCTGGCTCCTTCCCGACTGTAGATATTGTGCGTGTTCTCACCATCTGCGAGAGAACAAAAATAGAATGGCTCAAACTTCAGTTGTAGAATAAAGTCGCACGATAGAGAGAAAAAAAAGTGGAATTTTCCTAAAGCTCTATAGCCTCTTGAAGATAAGTACAGACGTCTCTGTACCGATCCTCCAGACTCTGCTAAGCTTACTCATGACTCGTGATACCTAGGCAACCTAGTACTCTAATACCAACTAGTCACGACCCGGAATCTCAACCTCAGGATCGTGATGGCGTCTAATATTTCACTTTCTAGGCAAGCCAACGTTAGTTAATTACTTAACAAGTTTTAAAAATTTAAATCAAAACATTAATAATAATAACTTGTGATAGTCTGAAATAGATATGATAAATACCATGTAGCGTAGTCTAAACATATCCCAGAAATCTGGAGTCACGAATACATGAGCATCTAGAGTACTACAGATAAAGTTTGAACAACAATACAACTGTTTGAAATAAGGTAAACAGTAAAGACAGAGTGGAAGGGGACTTCAGGGACTGCGAATACCAGCAGCTCTACCTCAAGTCTCCTGCTGAATGCCAGTCCGATCAAGATCTTTTCTACATGCCGTTGGGACCAACACCAGTATCTGAAGGCCAAGAATCACAATGGGGACTGCTGGTGCCTCAACTGGTCCCACCGGCTCAACCACATCTAGTACATGCTCGTGAGCTTGAGCAACGGGTGGCTCCATAGGTGCTGCTCTAGCTATAGTACGAACCAAACCTCAGCCTCTACTGTGGCCCCGGCCTCTCGCAGTCCTAGCTGGTGGTACTGGTGGTCATCCGCCTGATTTGGTCGCACGTGTCCTCACCATCTGTGAGAGAATAAAAGAGTCAAGTTCAAATTATTGGAAGTAACTAATCTGCACAACAAGAATACAAGAAAGTGAAGTTTTTTAACAGTTCGGTAGCTTCTCGAAGATAAGTACAGACGTCTCTGTATTGATCCGCAAGACTCTACTAAACTTGCTCATGACTCGTAATACCTACCTAGGGTTCTGATACCAACTTGCCACGACTCAAAATCCTAATCCGTCTTGATGGCGCCTAACATACCGGCTAGGCAAGCCGAAACATAACAATAAAGAACCAGAAATACATAAATTATAGAAATAACATAAGTTTGAAACCTCAACGTAATAAAGTACTGCCAATACATGGTAAATTTCCGAGAAACTAGTAAATACGGAGTCACGAGCTCTACTACGAAATACAAGTCTGAAAAACTAAATAATAATACTATTTGAACTGAAACAATAGTACATAAGAAAAGACAAGTCAAACTGCGGCCAAGGATGCAGATCTACCTCACCTCTCGATGATCAGTCCAACAAAAAAATCTACTGCTGATAATAATTGGTCCCCATACCTGAATCTGTATAATTAAGTGTAGAGTGTAGTATGAGTACAACCGACCTAATGTACTCAATAAGTATCGTAACTAACATCGATGAGGTAAAAGAAGCACGAATTATAAATGATACTAGCTATAACCTGTACAATCTCATCATTTTAACAGGTACAGAACAATAATGAAATCAAATCATGAAACACAAGAAGAAGCATTTGTATGTGTAAGTGTACAGTTACTCAAATACTTTGTTCAGTCAATGTTCAGCATATAGAGATGATATGCAGTTAAATCAAGTAATTAACCACGGAAATTGTATGTAAAGATGAAATGCAAAATCCAAGCAAACACTGGCCAGAATTCCTCAACCTTTCCATATCCGTACCATACCATTGATCAGTTTTCCTCAATATTCGCACGTACACTATCAAGAGAGAAACATGAGAGGATGACCCTAGGGGGATGAATCCATATCCACATGCAAGCACGACCAATTCAACGTGCTACCAGCCCGGCGTTATCACGTGCTCAATATCATAATTCGCTCGGCGTAGTCACATGAATAACAGTACAATCTGCCCGGCGTGGTCACAGGCATATCAACATAATTCGTCTGGCGTGGTCACAGGCATAACAACATAATTCGCCCGGTGTGGTCACAAGCATAAAAACATACTCCGCTCGGCGTGGTCACGGGAATAACAGTACAATCCGCCTAGCATGGTCACAAGCATCCCGTCCAAATTATATCACAGAGAAGCAAATATACAAAAATACATGTATATGATGAATGAATAACAGATCTCATACTCGTGGATATAAGTGACATGCTGAAGTGTAGGAATGTGTATAGTGTGCTATCATAGCTCAAACCGGCTACTTCATCACAGAGATAACAATTATCAAGTTCATTCAGAGATTTAGCCTCTATGTAACCTCAAACATGGCCCAAATAATTCACAACAAGGTTACAAATATAAGAAACATTATATCTTAAAGCATAACAGTAAATTCTAGGAATATCATAGCCTAAGTACTACCCGAGCATGGATAAATACTCCAGTGTTAGCACATGGGCTCAAACCACACACATGTGCGCACCTATAGCACGTAGCTATCACGAATAATTTAGGCAACTAGTGCCTCAACCAAGTTTAGATAAGATACTTACCTCAAGCAAGTCAAATTACTTCTCTAACAAACCCTTCACGCGTGTATCAACCTCCAGAAGGCTCGAATCTAGCCAAAATAATGTAATACTATCAATAAAAGCCATAGGAATTGATTCTAAATGATAAATCTAAGATCTTTAACTAAAATCAAAAAGTCAACCCAAAACGTCAACCCCGGGCTCGCACCTTGGAACCCGACAAAATTCACAAAATTGAAACACCATTCGATTACGAGTCCAGCCATACCAAAATCATTTAATTCCGACCTCAACTCGACCTTCAAATCCCACATTTTTTATTTTTGAAAAGTTTCCACAAAATCCCCCATT